GAGTATATCTGCCTTTTTTTTTTTCGAAGATTTTATTTATTTACTTGACAGAGAGAGTGAGAGTACAAGCAGGGGGAGCGGCAGGCAGAGGGAGAGGGAGAAGCAGGCTCTTCATGGAGCAGGGAGCCCGATGCGGGGCTGGATCCCAGGACCGTGGGATCACAACCTGAGCTGAAGGCAGCCGCTTAACTGACTGAGCCACCCAGGCGCCCCTAACTCTGCCTTTTTATTGGAATGCTTAGCCCATTGCCTGTAATGTAATTATTGGTTTTAATTCTAAATTGCAGTTTGTTTTCTGTGTAATTTTTTTGGAGGTTTTCTTTTCTCCTCTTTTGCGTCTGGCTTCCCATGTGGTGTCCATTGACACTGAAGTGGGATAGCCTCATTACCACTGGGTGATGGTGAAAATCCTGACTCTTCACTAGGCCTCCTCTGAGACTACCCAGCAGGAATGGAGTGGGGCTTAGTTACTTACAGTTTGGGGGTGGAAATCCAGATTCTTCACATGGTCTCCATTGACACCCTTGTAAGAGCCCAGCCCTCTTACCAGCTGGCAGGTGTGAAAGGCCCAGCTCCCTACCTGGGGCACCCCGTGAGGGTGCAAATCTAATCTCCCTCTTAGCAGTGTGGTTGGGGGCAGGGCTACAGATTTTTCCTGGTGTTTGCCTCGAGCTATTTACTAACTCCACTATTATCTAAAAGTTTTGTCTTGCAGGACAGCCCCTTTCCTGGTTTTTGGCTAGAGAGAGGAGGCTTTTGTTGTTTCATCTATGCCCATCAGTGTTTCTGGGTTATGGACTTTGTGAGCTCCAAGTCTGGGACAAAAAGAAAGCTCTGGGATCTCCCAACTCTGTTGTTCTTAGAATCCTGAGGTCCCTAAACTACCAGCCTTCTCTACCTGTCAGTCTGCTGTCATTTTTTTTTTTTATTCTAATATCCAGGATTTTTAGTTGTACTTACCAAGAGGAGTAGGGATAAGTAGTCTTTCTTCAAATGTTTACAAATTTACATCAGTTTTTCTGTTGCCTTAGAAGTAGGAATTTTTAATTTTTGTTTTATTTTCTTACCTTTGGCTTCAAATTTACCATGGACCCTCTGAGGCCTCTTCTGCCCTTTTATTTGATGAAGTTTAGGTTTGCTGTGGCTCCCCAGTGCTCCAAACAGTGTGTCCTAATGGAAACGTGTTGTTGCTTTTAAATCATCCAGCATTCAGGCCTTCACCCCTTCGTGTATGCTGTTAGCTGCTGCCCTTCCTTCTATTCATTCCCAGCTATAGGGGAAGCAAGTCAACAAATATTTGTCTAGAGTAGTTTTTGCAGGATAATCTATTGAACGCTTTATGAACAAACCTGTCTTCATCATCAGTCTAGGATGGAAACTGAGTAATGGTAATAAATGAACTGGGAGAACATGTGCATGTAGGTGTAAGTTACAAAATGCTGCAGGACAGGAGAGAATGACCCAAATCAGTATGGCATTTGGTTGTACCTATTCCTGCCCTTACTCCTCTTACTGCCAGTTTTGTCACTTCCTGGCTTTGGAATTAGTGATGACTCGGCTCCCACATCAAGGCTGACGTCCTCAGCTGGGCACTCAGTTGGCATTCAGTTCAGGACCCACCTTGTCTTTCCATGCCTTTCCTATCCTTTTTCCCAGGAACTGCTCCCATCAGACCAGGCTTGCTGCCATCCCACAAATAAGCCCTGTTGGTTCTGCTTGTGTCTGTACCACGCCGTTCCTCTCTCTTCTGGGTGTTAGACACGAAGGGCAGTGTAGTGTATGCTCCAGGATAGATCCCAGTTTTACTTCTTGCTGTGTGACTTAGGGTAAGTTACTCTGGCCCTCTGAGCCGTGGTTCCCCTGTTTGTGAACATGAAGAAGTACTTCTTTTCTCACAGGATGTACTAAGGAAGTTAATGTATGTGAATGTTGCTGAAGCCACAGGAGTTCAAATAAAATAAAATTTGGGTTCCATTGCTTTGTTTCCTTAATTAAAATGTAAGGCTAAGGGTCACGTTCATTTCTTCTAGTCTTTGTCTCATCAGCAGTACACAATATGTTGAGAACATGGAAGAAACTAATTAGTTCATTAAGTAAATGTTTGAGTACCTCCTGTAATGCCCTGTGTTGTGTTAAATGTTGGAGCTCACAGATTTGCTGGACAGGACAGATGGGTGCCCAGGCAATTAAAATAGCACAGTGCATGCAGTGCTGGAGGTGTGTTCCGGAGATTTGGGGAGCACAGAAAAGAAGTGATGAAGGAGGATTCCTGGATAAAGTGTTGCTGGTAATTGTTCCTGGTTTTTTTGTTTGTTTTTTAGAACAGCTTTATTTAGGTATAATTTACATACCATAAGATCCACCGACTTTAAGTGTGTAATTCAGTGATTTTTAGTAAATCAACCGGTTTGTGTAACCATTACCACAATCCAAATCTAGACCGTTTCCATCACTTCAAAAAGATTCCTCATACCCATTTTCAGGCATCGTGGTGAAGGATGGGTGTGAATTGGCCATGCAGAAGTGCGGGAAAGGGAGGGCTGGCTTCCTGGGAGTGCAGATAAAGTGCGCAAAGCCAGGGGAGCATAAGACAGAATGGCTCAGTGTGGAAGGCATGCCTATAAGTGGGTTTATTTCTGTAGTTTACAGGTTTGCTCCTTCCTGGCAGCTGTATTCTGGCTTCCTCGGTCCTTGGAGCTCAGTTTCCTTACCTGTAAATGTGTAACTGTCGCGATGTTGGCCCCAACTTCCCCTAAACTCTCAAATCCTGTGACTGTCAAAACTTATGATGCCTTTGGTTGAAGAGAAAATAGCCTGTTCTTCTAAAAAACAATAGCCAAACAGAAAAACAGAAGAATTAGAGTGATGCTTACAGATCCTTTAATGGAACTTTCTGCTCTTTTTTAGGTTTTCCTGATTATTTGAGTAATAATGCATACTGGGTAGAAAAATTGTGAAATGCAGGAAGATAGGAAGAAAACATAGGTCACTTATAATCTTATTCAGAGATAATTGTTATTAACATTCTCTTGGTTCTTATGAGTTTTTTGTTTGTTTTTTGAGAGAGAGAATGTGCATATATGTGAGCAGGGGAGGGGCAGAGGGAGAGGGAGAGAAAACCCCAAGCAGGCTAGACGTCCAGCACAGAGCCTGATGCAGGGCTCAGTCTCACGACCCTGAGATCATGCCCTGAGCCGAAATTAAGAGTCAGATAGTCAACCCACTGAGCCATCCAGGTGCCCTGTTCTTAGGATTTTTTTGCATGTGTGTTTATATACTTAAATATTGATATTGTGCTATAAATAAAGTTTCCCCCCACATTATTAAATAGTATCAAAAACATGATTTTAAATGCTGCAGGATTTTTGTGAAATTAAAAAAAACACGGCCTGTGCATTTTTTTAAATAGTAATAAAAGTAATAAAAAGACATGGTAAATTTCAAACTATGTAGAAGGAATAAAAAAAAATTTTTTTCTCTCCCTCCCATTTTACCACTTCTAAGAGTTAACAGTAGTTAACTGTTTTTACATGCTTTCAGAAATTGTGTGTATTAATTTATATTCCATTATGTGGATAAATCATAATTTGATCTTTTATGGATAGCCATTAAGATTATTACATTTTTGCTTTTACAGTGCTGAAATGAATATTTTCATGTGCACGTCTTTGAATTCTTATAAAAGTATATCTGAAGGATCAGTTCCTAAAAGGAATGCATGGATCAGGGAACACATTTCGTATTTTGATAGATGTGGCCAAATTGCTTTTCAGAAAAGATTGTGCTAATTTATACTTCTATTCTCATGAGTCCCTCTTTGCTTATATCTTTACCAACATTGGGTATAACATACTATTTTGTTCTTTGCCAGTCAGATGTTAGAAAAATGGTAACTTATTGTATTTTAGTTTATGCTTTAAAAACTAGATTGTACTTGAACATTATTTTCATATGGATATTAATCATTTTTCTATGAGTTACATCATATCCTTTGTGTAGGTGTCTTGAATTGTTCATATTTTACTGATTTGTAAGAACTATTTGCTGTTTAAAGAATTGAGCTAGTCAATTTTGAATTTTTTTTTTTTTTATTTTTTTTTACATTTTCTTCTCTTGACTGTGTTCATGGTCAGATTTATTAGTCTTGTCATTTAGGGCTTAGGGATTTTTTAAATTGCAAAATTACCTTAAAAAGTAAGTGCAGAGAGAACCAAGTGATTCTAATAGTTTTCCAAGTGAGTACCATAAGGATATTAAAGAGGAATAAGAACTAATCCAAGTAACTTTTGAACTCTGTATGTAGACTGTTTAACCTCTGACTCAGGAAGAAAAAGTGAACAGATCTTGAGTTCTTACTGTGTTTGTCCTTTGCAGTGTCCATTCTAGTGAATCTGTTGTATTTAAGGATTGAGCAAATAAGGGCTCCCTTGTTTCTTTCAATATAATTGCAGTACAAAATAAAATAGTTATTATCAACACACAAATGACTTAATATCATGCAATATAGAACTATAATTAAGAATCTATAATTGTGTGAATCATCAAATATATCCCTACAATTACTGTAAATTTTAATTCTGATTCTGAACTATTCATGTGTAGCTATATAAGTTCTTTGTAATTTATTATTTATAGTTGTTCATAACCTAAAGGAAAATAGTAAGATTTTATGTTGGATAGAGCGATCAAAATGAAACCCCTTACAATGGGAACTTCTTTCTAAAAGGAACTCTGTATACTACTTTGAGAACTCTGATTTTAATTTGGTTTATTTTTCTAATACTTAGAGATGCTCTTGCATTCTGTGAAAGCTCTTTGAGAACTGAAATGTGTGGTGAAGGGAATATAACTTGAGATGATAAAATGAATATTTTTAAAGAGGGGTCATGAAGAGAAATATTTTTTATTTGTAAATGCAAGATTACTCACCATGTTTTGTATGTGTGTGTGGTGCCTTTGTGTTTTGGTTGGTGTTGATGACCTTTTCTCCCTATGTGCAGGTGTAATGGATAGGTAACAGAGAAACCCTCCTCACTGTCTCGTCAGGGAGGCAGAATGACTGAGTGCTTCCTGCCCCCCACCAGCAGCCCCAGTGAACACCGCAGGGTGGAGCATGGCAGTGGTCTTACCCGAACCCCCAGCTCTGAGGAGATCAGCCCTACTAAGTTCCCTGGATTGTACCGCACTGGCGAGCCCTCGCCTCCCCACGACAGCCTCCATGAACCTCCTGACATAGTGTCTGATGATGAGAAAGACCATGGGAAGAAAAAAGGAAAATTTAAGAAAAAAGAAAAAAGGAGTAAGTGCCATTTTTCTCTGTGCTTTTGATATATTTTAGATAAACTCTTACTTTAATCCCATGTACCTGCTATTTTCTGGGAATATGTCCAAAGACTCTTGTTTGACATTTTCTGTTTTTTACTTTTCTGGGTCTCAATTTTTGTATACTAGAGTTGTATTTTAGGGTCTTACTCTTGAAAATAAAAATACCAGATTTCCAGAAATGGTAAAGTTTTTTGGTGGAAGTTTCTTATATTGGTTATTTTAAATAATGTATAAGTAGATATTGGAATTTTACTTATATAGAATATTACTTTCTTGGCTAGGTTGTGTAAGCCAGTTAGGGTACTACACTTTATTGGAACTGTGAAAAAAATAGTTATTTGTTTGTCTTAAGCAAATGCCATAATGCATTCTATTTATAGTTCCTATTCAGTAGGAAAGATGAATTTTTTAAGCATAGCTCTTTAGTATGTTAAAAGCAGATCAGGTGAGTTATTTTAAGTATTGCTTTATTTTGACTTTTATGGTATTTTTAATTTGTTTTTTGAAGCATAACATTGAGGTTAGAATGCACAGATTATAATTTGAATGACTTATCACAAAATGGACATATGTCCTTGTAATTATAAACATCTGGAAATAGGGTGTTATCAGCACCATAGACATTCCCTTCCATTATCCCTTCAAGGGGAATCCCCTACCCTTCCCAAAGGTAAGCTTATTTCAGCATAGCTTGAAACTGCCTGATTTTTGAATTTATCTAAATGAAAGTATATTTCCTTTTGCATCTAGTTTCTTTTTCCCAGTTATATTTGTTAGATTCATCCATGTTCCATGTGGCAGTAATTTGTTCATTTTTATTGGTGGATTTTGTTTCATTGCATTAATATACTAGAATTTACTCTGCTGTTGTTGGTCATTTGGGTTGTTTTCCATTTTTGGCTCATGAATAGGGCTTCTGTGAGTGTCATTATAGCTATTTATATATTTCTTTTGTGTATGCCTGGGAGTGGAGTTGCTCTCTTATAGGCCATGCTCATTTTAGCATTAGTCGATCCTGCACAAAACGATTTTCCAGAGTGGTTGTTCCAGTTTACACTCACACCAGCAGTGTCTGAGAACTACATTGGCTTTATATCATGGTATCATGCCCTTAAGGTTTCTGCCCTTATGGATGGTGTGGAGTTTGTGGTATTTTAAATAGAGGGTAATTTGTGAAATATTTTTAATCTTTGTTATGAAATAGCTTGTAAGGCAGCTGGCTGAAGAACAGAATAGGAGAATTCTATTTGGAGATGACGAAACCAAGCTAGGGTAGCTCCAATATGATATAAAGCAAGTATCAGTGTGGAAACCAAGGCTCGTGATGCAAAGAAATGGGCTGATGCATTTGGCGACCATCCAGAGATTAGGGAATCTCCTGATTCTGTCCTCCACCCTAATGAGGTTTCAATCCCTGCTGCAGTCTCCAGAAAAAACCTAACAGCTAGTGACAGGAGGGCAGGGTGTGATCAGGGAAGGGCTGGAGCATCCAAACAGCAGTGCCATTGGTGTCATGGTGTCAGACTGCTTCCAGTTACAGGGACCAAATATATGAAAAAAATCTAAGAGGACATTGTCAGATGATTAAAAAAACACTCTGTATTATAGAAGGACTCTTTCCATTAGCCCTCTCTGTAGATCCTTTGTGGTGTATTCATAATTTGGTTTGCCAAAGTTCCACCTAAAACCAGTTGTAAAGGTAACTGGCACTGTGCATTTCCCCCTCTTGTGGTCAGGAGATGTCACTGCCGCATCTCGTTTTCCCGGAGCAGAAACCTGTTTCATTAATGGCAGTACCCAAGAGGGATTGGCCAGGAAGTGAAAAGTGAGGTAGCCAGTGCCTGGTAGCACTTTTTTTGGGGGGGGGGGGAGGGTCCTGTTTTTAGAAAGTTTATGGCCGGTTTGACATTAAACAGATAGATGACTTCTGTTTCCTGCATTTCTTTGGCAGCTGAAGGCTATGCTGCCTTTCAGGAAGATAGCTCTGGAGATGAAGCTGAAAGTCCTTCCAAAATGAAGCGGTCCAAGGGAATCCATGTTTTTAAGAAGCCCAGCTTTTCTAAAAAGAAAGAGAAGGATTTTAAAATAAAAGAGAAACCCAAAGAGGAAAAACATAAAGAAGAAAAGCACAAAGAAGAGAAACATAAAGAGAAGAAGTCAAAAGACTTGACAGCAGCTGATGTTGTTAAACAGTGGAAGGAAAAGAAGAAAAAGAAGAAGCCAATTCAGGAGCCAGAGGTGCCTCAGATCGATGTTCCGAATCTCAAACCCGTTTTTGGAGTTCCCTTGACCGATGCGACCGAGCGGACCATGATGTACGACGGCATCCGGCTGCCGGCGGTTTTCCGCGAGTGCGTGGATCACGTAGAGAAGTACGGCATGAAGTGCGAAGGCATCTACAGAGTTTCAGGTACCGGGGATGCTCATTTCTCTCCGGCGGTTTTTAAAAGTCACTTCCATTTTTCAAAGGAAGGAAAATATTGGCTTGTGAGGAAAATTGTGGCATGGGTCCTATGTCGTCTTCATTTTCTAGATCCTTCCAGTTGAACAAAAATCCCCCACAGCGCGCGGGCGTGTGTGTGTTGACAGTTTGCTTTTTTAATGATACTCCCCTCCATCAGGACGCTTTCCACACGAGTTGTTCACAGTATGCCGCAGGCCGGCTGAGTCTAAGTGAAGCATATGAGTAGCATCCCTTCCCTCTGGTACACTCAGACTGGTCTTTAGTCTTCTCACCTCCTGCCTCTCTGAGCCGGGCTCAGTGTTGTGAGGGAGAGGAGCAGGGGTAGGACGCTTCTTGGCCAGAAGACACTTTTACTGACATAATCCTATTTCCTGAGGCCTCAAAGGCGAATGCTTTTGTTAGCCACCTGCAGCTGTTACATAGATTAGTGAAATTGATTTTTCCATTTGTTTATGTTCCCTACATGTGAAGTTTTAAATTTCTTATTTGGCAAGAATATAATTCATTCGGGTGTCTAAAATCAAGCCAAATGATTACTCTGATTTAAAGGAAATCAGAGGAAAAAGAATTTTAAAGGAAAAAGAATATGCTTCTTAAAGTAGTAGGACTTTTGTACTGTATAGGATGGTAGTCCTGCCCTGTGGCAACATCTGTGCTCCAAATCATTACCTTCCTGTGATTCAGTTTCTTAATACTGTAGATCTCTTTTATAAAACCTGTTGTTGGTCACACGTTGGTCATGATGAATCAAATCATACACATTTAGAATATAGATTACATGGAGTTTTTCCATTTGTTTGGTTCATACATATTTTTTAGAGGGCAGATTTAATATTTTTGATTTTTGGGGGAAGGGACGAGCATCTTTGGTAATTGGGGAACCCTTTAGCAGTCCCCTAGATAGCATTTCATCGTTTAAGAGTATTTTGGCTAACATGCTACCATTTTATAGAAAATAAAATCCACAAATTAGGCATTGAATTTGAATTTATAACTCTTTAGTAACGTGAAAATAAACACATTTAAATGAATTGGAAAATTTGACTTTTAAAACTAATTAATGATTTGGTTTGTAAAGATTTAAACAATACTAACATAGTTGCTTCTCTCACATGAGTTTGATAAGAAGGAATTTTGTTTTAGGTGAAAGTTTCTCTGAAGAGTTTCTACAGCTTTGTTCAAAGGATTCTTTTGTCTTTGACCTATTTTTGATGTTTGCATTCTTTTGGAGAGTCAGTCACAGAACTCCTTTGTTTGTGTGTCAGAGCATTCAAACAGAGCTCTTCCCCTTATCATTGACTCCTGGAGGCTGAGCTGCTGCTTTGATCAATTTTTTATTATTTTTTAAGCTCTGACAGTGTGCTGCTGTGGATTAGAGTTTATGGCTGTGACTTTTCTTTCTTTGAATGCCCATAATAATACTGTTTTCTGCTGGAGATTTTTGGCTCTTGCTTATTCATATGTAAGTTCCAATTTTAAAACATGTCATTTTGGATATGCTCTTTCTCTACCTAGGACATTTTATTTGAAGTGTCCAATTCTTAAAAAGAAAACATTTTGATAATTGCAGAGTAACAACAAACCAAACACATATTTTAATTGTTTACTTGTGCAGTTTTCTGGGTAGGCACTATGGGGGAGAAAAATCAGATACATATAAATAGAGAGAGGAGGTCTTTGCTAAGAATTTCACTTGAAGTTATCACTCACTATGTTTTACTCATATTGTCATAAAAATTAGAAAATGGGAATTTTTGAGGTGCCTAGGTGTCTCAGTCGGTTAAGCACCTGACTCTTGATTTTGGTTTAAGCATCTGACTTTTTTTTTTTTTTAAAGATTTTATTTATTTATTTGACAGAGAGAGAGAGAGAGAGCTCAAGTAGGCAGAGTGGCAGGCTTCCTGCTTGGGAAGCCCGATGTGGGGCTCGATCCCAGGCCCCAGGATCATGACCTGAGCCGAAGGCAGACGCTTAACCGACTGAGCCACCCAGGCACCCCTAAGCATCTGACTCTTGATTTCGGTTCAGGTTGTGATCTCAGGGTTCTGGGATCGAGCCCCACGTCAGGCTCCACACTCAGCACCAGGTCTGCTTGTCCCTCTCCCTCTGCTCCTCCCCTCCCCCAAGTAAATAAATAAGTAAATAAATAAAATCTTAAAAAAAAGAAAATGAGAATTATTTTCTAACTTTTCTGCCTCAAAATGAAGATTATATAAAAATAAGCTTTATCTTCTTACTTTCATGCTTAGAGTTACTGATTTTATTTTGTCAGTGCTGGATAATTTACAGACTTATTATAATGGAAGGTTTTCACATAAGATAAGGAATGCCAAAGCCCGGATGTAAACACTATTGATTATAAAGTGCTGTTCAGATGAGATGACACTTGAGTATTTACATCAACCATTACAGTCTCTCGGCCTTAATCTGTGGCTTGTTTCAAATAATTGGCCTAAAGTTTTAAGTGTCAAACTACAGGAAGCTATCTTGTGCTTTTATGAGCAGTCACTGGCACTGAATCTACATCACTTAAATGCAGATTGGACTAAGGACTTAAAAACTTATAAAATGTTTGAAAAACAGTCTTTTTGTGTATCAGTGTTTCTCTCTGCCAGTAAGAAAAGCAGAACAGTTTGATTTTAGAAACCCAGGTTTCACTTTTTGTTGGTTGTTCCAGCTGTGTTCCAGATTACGGAAACATAGAACAATTTGAATTTAAAAATAGAAATTAGATGGGGATTATTTAATGGATAAGATTTTTCAAAGAGTGTGTTTAGATAGTAAACCCACCTTTTGCATTTATCATACAATGTTTGCTTATAAAAAAATAATTACCCACAACTTTTTGGACACATTTATAAATACTGAGTTGTGTTTTACGTTGTCAGTCTTGTGACTTTTTAGAAAAGGCAGTTGGCCGCTCATGTGGAGCAAGATTTATGCTTGGATTGTAGTTGAATTTTTGCCTGAATTCTTACCTACCTAAATTTAAATTAAAAAAAAAATTGTCCCCTGAATCAGTTGGCATGTTTTGAAACCTAAAATATTCTGTGATTGCTCTTTTTTTTTTTCTTAGTTTTGAGTTTTCCCATCATCAGTTAGCTTTTGGTTGAATTCACCCTCACAGTGTAGTCTTTCATATTGTTTTCTTTTATAGAGGAATTGTATGCACCTTGAGCAGATAAATACTTCATAACTAGAGGTTTGTTATTGTCAGATTGGCTCTCTTTAGATCTCCCCCTAGGAGTTGGTGCCATGGTGAAAAAAGCTGTGTTTGATTATTTTCTTGAAATTCTCTTTCTCTTCGGAATTTTGATGTTTTTAGGAATTAAATCAAAGGTGGATGAGCTGAAAGCAGCCTATGACAGAGAGGAGTCTCCAAATTTGGAAGAATATGAGCCTAACACCGTAGCCAGTTTGTTGAAGCAGTATTTGCGAGACCTTCCGGAGAATCTGCTTACCAAAGAGCTGATGCCTCGCTTTGAGGAGGCTTGTGGGAGGAGCACAGAGAGCGAGAAGGTGCAGGAATTCCAGCGCCTGCTCAAAGAACTGCCAGAATGTAACTATCTTCTGATTTCTTGGCTGATCGTGCACATGGACCATGTTATCGCGAAGGAACTGGAAACAAAAATGAATATACAGAACATTTCTATAGTGCTCAGCCCAACCGTTCAGGTACATGGCCTTCTCTGCACACATGCCCTCTGATGCTGACCCTGAGGAGTGTCGGAGACATTTTCTGTTGCTGAGTCGCATACAAAGCAATTAACCAGCAAATGTAGACAATAGATTAGCCTGAATATTGGTCTTTTTCTTTCAGAATATGGACAGTGTCATCATATGACCAGCATGTAGCTTTGTAATTTGAGTGTTGTACAGTCTTTGCTGTGGGTTTCTAAACCAGTTTCTGATGACAGTGATCCGTCATGAATAGAGGAGGAGCCCATGGTACACACAGTTACAGAGTTCATCTATAGAATTTTAAAGATTTCATTTATTTTTTCAAATAGCATTATTGCTTCATTATATCATGTCCACATATCAGACTCAGGCACAAAGGGGCCTAACATCATTTGGTTTGGTCAGAGATTTAACCTGGTGATTTCATTCATGAAGATAGATCCTAGGGAAGGGCGTTAGAGAAATTTAATCTGAGGAGGCATTTAGAGAACTGGGTAGTGTGTTAATTGGTGTCTCTTTACAACATAAATAGTTGGCCTTCATTTATTGCTGCTCACTTGGTGCTGGCACAGAGCATATATTTTCCTTCCCTTAGAATTATTGATATTTTATTGAGGCCAGACACCAAAGACAAAAAAATGAAGTAATGTTTGTATTTTTATTTTAAGCTCTCTTTTTGGCCAATATACTAGGTTTTTGTCAGCCATTGTTATAATGCACTGGTGTAAGAGTGTCTTTTCTTACACTTTCATTGTTCATTGATTGTGTTTTGGAAGTAAAATGTTTCTCAGATTTCAGTTTGATCATTCAGACTAGTCAGGATTTCAGAATTTGGTAAATATGACATTGTTACTTGATATTACTATAACAGGACAGTAATTTCATAGAAGGTTCAAGTGTATTGTAAGTTTTAGGTAGAGAGTAATTAATGTCCCGATCTCCTAGCATATGAACATCATATTTAAACACTGGCTGTGCAGATATGCCCAGAAGGCGTTCGTTTCTGGAGTGAGGGTTCTTGTACTCAGCCCAGCTTGACAACTGCAAGTGCTCGTACTTCCTTCATATTCCTCAGTGGATCCACTTGTGTGTTTTAAAAGGTCTCAGAATAACTTGAGAATAAAGAATATAAGATTTTTTAAATCAGTAGTATTATATTGCTAAAAAAGAAGAAATTGATGGTCAGCGACTTTTACATCCTTTTTCCTGTCCTTTTTTCTCCCCAGTTCCTTATGGTGCTTGAATACATGACTGAACTCCTACTACTTTTCCATTCTTTTCTTTCAATTGGCCACTAATTAGCAAGCATGTCTGCTCACTACTGAGGAAAACCGTCGTTCCCATGTCTAGGATTAAAGGATATACTATGCAACAGACACAAATTAAATGAAATGATAATTTGAATAGGTTTTTTTTTTTTGCAAATCTTTTTATTTATTTTTTCTTAGATTAGCAATCGTGTCCTATATGTGTTTTTCACACATGTGCAAGAGCTCTTTGGAAATGTGATACTAAAGCAAGTGACAAAACCTCTTCGATGGTCTAACATGGCCACTATGCCCACACTGCCAGAGACCCAGGAGAACATCAAGGAGGAGATCAGAAGACAGGTGTGTGTGCTCAGCCTCACGCTTCAGCCCTGAAGAGCCTACCTTTGCTCTGACCCTTTTGGATGATTATGATGATTGACAGTGATGATTAGGAGGAGGAGTTCTTGTTCACTGTGTGTCTGGAATTATGTTAGACACATTATTCATGGCACACCAAAGGCAGAAATTTCTCTCTGGCACTGTTTCATGCCAATGAAGTCATAATATTGTAGAAAGAACACAAGTTTTGAAATCAAAAGACCTGGCTTTAAGTTCTTCCTAGGCTTCTAATTAGCTGACTCATTTTTAGGCAAATTGCTAAAACTCTGTAAACCTTGGTGATCCCATTTTAAAATGGGTCATTTCATGGTTTGATGTGAAGATTATTACCATAGATGAGATAATGCTGCCAGGCACGTTGTCAGGAGTCCAAAAATGTTAGCTTATCTGAACAAAGTTGCTGTTACCAGCCATATTTTACTGCTAAAAAGAAATTTGGGGAAATTAAATAACTGACTCTGTGCCACATGGTTACTGAACTATAGAACCGGGATTTGACCCCAAATCCTGTGCTTTTCCATTGTGCTACTTTGATAGAAGAAATAGTTCATTTGGTTGTTTGTGTGTTTAGCAAAACTGATTAAGAAATTCAAGACTGAGAAATCTACTTATATTTGATGATTATTACGTCTTTTATTTGCATACATGTTATCAAATTCCTGTTTGGTTTTCTTTCCTTTATCTACTCTGAGCTCCCATTATTAATTGTTGATGTGTTGTGGGAAGGGATATGAACAAACTGTTACTGAACCAATGTAAATTAATGATGAGAACCCAGTGCCCATGCAAAAAAGGATTTTTCAATCATATGCTTGAAAAAATAATTCATGCCATTATTTCATTCCCTTAATGATAATTGAAAGATAGTTGGTTGTACATCTTTAGAAATGCATGTAGTTTTATTTTAAAATGATAAGACATGGGACACCACTCAGTGTGGTATTTTGTTTTCTAGGAGTTTCTTTTGAATTGTTTACATCGAGATCTGCAGGCTGGGATAAAGGATTTATCTAAAGAAGAAAGATTATGGGAAGTACAAAGAATTTTGACAGCCCTCAAAAGGAAACTGAGAGAAGCTAAAAGACAAGTGAGTAAATTTGTTATTTTGGTATATCATGTTTATAATGGAATATAAACCGAATGCATTGGAATTTTTTTATGTACTATTTTAAGTTAAGTTTTTTTTTTTAGATTTTATTTATTTATTTGACAGAGACACAGCGAGAGAGGGAACACAAGCAGGGGGAGTGGAAGAGGGAGAAGCAGGCTTCCTGCCTAGCAGGGAGCCCGATATGGGGCTCAATCCTAGGACACTGGGACCATGACCCGAGCCGAAGGCAGATACCTAATGACTGAGCCACCCAGGTGCCCCTAAGTTAGTTTCTTTTATAAACACAATATATACATGTTTTCTGAAGTGAAGTTCCCTGGTGGATATTTATTTGCTTGAATGTTCCCTTTAATGATTGTCGATCCTTCAGTTTGGTATCAGGGAAATGTTTAATTTAGAAAGTTTTTTACTTTTTTATTTTAAAGATTTTATTTATTTATTTGAGAGAGAGAGAGAGAGAGAGAGAGAGAAACAGCATGAGGGGGAGAGGGTCAGAGGGAGAAGCAGGCTCCCCGCTGAGCCAGGACTCCGGGATCATGACCTGAGCTGAAGGCAGTCGCTTAACCAACTGAGCCACCCAGGTGCCTGGGGTTTTTTTACTTTTTAAATTAATTAATTAATTGATATTTTGTGTTGTATTGTAATCAATACTTTCATAATCTACTTGATACACATCTGACCAGTAAGAACCTTTTAAGTGGCTCCAGTGTTCTGACACGCACTCATCATTTTTTGAGGTTTCCTTTCTTTCTGGCACGACAGAATGTTCCAGGTTCATCTTGTATTTTTTCTACCCCCAGCCCTGAAGTTGGACGTTTCTCCAAGGAGCCTTGGTTCCTTTCAGTATTGAAATCAAGATCTGGGTACTCAGGTGTGCTCACTACTACTATAGTAGCAGGGTCCCAGGCCCTCAGTGAACATGGGTGGAAAATAAACACACAGAGAATATTAAAGTTATGAAAGACAAAGAGTGACGAACTATTCCAAATTAAAAAACACTACACAGACACAACTAAGTACAATAAATGGCCCTTGTGTTGGATCCTGGACAATTTGAAGAAGCGTTATGAAAGACACTTGGGATAACTGATGAAACATGCTGGACTAGAAAATTGGGCCAGTCTTAAAATGTTCTGATTTTGATAATTGTACCACGGTTAATATGAGCATGTCTGTTCTTTAAAAAATCTACATTAAAATATTTAGGTACGGGGGCACCTGAGTGGCTCAGTCGGGTAAGTGTCTGACTCTTGATTTCAGCTCAAGGTTATGACGATCTCAGGGTTGTGAGATCGAGTCCCCTGTCAGGCTCTGCGCTGGGTGTGGAACCTGCTTAAGATTCTCTTTTGCCCTCCCTCTCTCTCTGCCCCTCCCCCCCGCTTGCACTCTTTCAAAAAAAAGTAACAAAGTTAAAATGTTAAAGTGCATGTTTGAAGAGAAGATGCACAAACAATAAAGGGGCAAAATGTAAACTTTTGAATCTGTTGAGCATAATGGGGAATCACTGTACTATACTTGTAATTTAAGTAAACTCTCTGCCCAGCGTGGGGCTTGAACTCATGACTTTGAGATCAAGAGTGGCATGCTCTACTGACCGAGCCGGCCAGGTGCCCCTTAAATGATACCAAAATAACAAAAATAAAAAGCTTAAGAAGCATCTTACAGACTAAAGGTCTGCCTAAAACGTAGACTATCTCTGCAGGTATTGACTCAGTTCACTGAGATGACCTAGCTCTGGCCTTGTTAATGTTTGAACCATGATAATTTAGTAGATAAATGTGCAAGTCATGGTTTTATCAATGAAAAGGGACATTTTCTTAATTCAAGAATAAAACCAGAACAACCTATATTAACTTTCTTAAAGCTTTACGCCCAACGTAGGGCTTAAACTTACAACCTGGAGATCAGAGAGAGGCATGCTCTACCAACCGAACCAGCCAGGTGCCCCTATAGTAACATCTTCAGTGGCATCAAAGAAGGGGCGCCTAAGTGGTGTGGTCAGTTAAGCATCTGACTTTTGGCTTTGGTTTCGGCTCAGATCCTGATCTCAGGGTTATGAGATCTAGCCCTGCGTCAGGCTCTGAGCTCAGCCAGAGTCTGCTTAAGACTCTCACTCTCCCTCTGCCCCTCCTTCCCAGTCTTTCTAAAATAAATAAATCTTTAATGGCATCAAAGAAATATATATATATGTATATATATATGGGCACCTACATTTTGCTATAGGCAAAGGCAGTTTTGGGGGGTTAGTAACTGAAAGTAGTTTTATACAGCTGCTAAATTTCATCCTAATATGGAATCTCTCCAGAAAGTTGGTTTTTTAAAAAATTAAACATGATTTTACTGAAAGATGTTTTGTCATTTCCTGCTTGGTTGTACTTGTAAACAGAAGCAGTTGGATAGTGAGACATTTCAGAGATGGCTGGGGAATTTGAGGCCTTTGAGTCAGCTCTTTGGAAACAAAGAAGTACTGAAGATTAGGAGGAATTTTATTCGCCTAATAATAGGAAGACTAGCATGTGACTCCTGCTACGTTTGAGTTAGACTTTTGATCTCTTCTGGCTTAGTGTGTGTTGCTTGGCTTTGGCACTCTTGAGTTGCTCAGCCACACCAAGGCTAAGATCTCAGACGTCAGTGCCAGGCCCCGAATATTACTTCCAAGGAACATTAGTTAGCATTTATTAGCCTGGGAGAGTGTGATCGTTGGGGTGTGCTAACAGACAAAGACAGCCCATGTGTTTATGTTGCTTTGAGGTTAGAGATTTGCATTTATGTGGAGGTTAGCTTCGTCAGAAAGGAAACATTCATGGGGTTTTTACACATGCACTCCAGGACTGGCAGACTAGCAAAAGCCTTTGTGTATTTTTCTTCATTCTTTTCTCCTGCTTACCAGATTAGCTATCTTTTGCTTCCTATGCCTCTTGTCATTATTGTTCCCTTCATGCTTCAGCCTGGAATCAGCGACTGACCGACCAGCCCTCATGGTTGTAAATGTTAACCATATGGCATTACCCACCAGACTTTAAATGAAGGGTCTCTGACCTATGAGAGGGATAACGTATGTTTAGTTTTCATTACTCTTACTTTGCTTCTCTCTTGGATAAAGGAGTTGTGACAGAGCAGAGTCGTTATAGAAAGGGATAGATTTCCTTTACCAGTTTTCTTTATGCTATCTTCTTATACCTGCTCATTCATTCATAAATTTTCAAAAGGTTCTGTCAAGTTGACTTCAACTTTGAGGAATAAATTACTTTTATTTTTTTTATCTCCCCCCCCATGCCCATCCAGGAATAAATTATTTTTAAAGATAGAAGTAATATGATTCATTATAGAAAAACCACAAGATCATGTCAATAGATGCAGAAAAGCATTTAGCAGAATTCAACACTTATTCATGATAAAAGCTCTCAGCAAACGTCATTCTCAGCCTGATATAGGGTGTCTATGAAAAAAATCTATGATTAATATTGTACATAATGGTGAAAGTCTGAATGCTTTCTCCTAAGATTGGGTATACAAGGCAAGGATTTCTGCTTTCACCACTCTGTTCAACATTTTACTGGAGGTTCATTCTAGCTAGTACAATAAAGCAAGGGAAACAGGTATACGGATTGGAAAGAAGAAAGTCTTTATACATAGGCTACATGACTGTCTACATATAAAATCCTTAGGAATCTATAAAAAAATTAACAAGTGAATTTAGCAAGGTCGTGGGATACAAGATTAGATACACAGAAGTCTGTTGTATATCTTGATATTAGCAATGAGCAGTTGGATACTGGACCTAAAAAGAAAAATAAAGACCTAAATAAATGGAGTGATATATCAATATTTTTAAGATGTTAGGTATTCTCAAATTGATCTGTGGAGTCAATCCCAATCAAAATCTCAACAGGTGTTTTTTGTGGAAATTAACAAACTCTTCTAAAACTTACATGGAGGGCGCCCGGGTGGCTCAGTTGGTTAAGCGACTGCCTTCGGCTCAGATCATGATCCTGGAGTTCCGGGATCGAGTCCCACATCGGGCTCCCTGCTCAGCAGGGAGTCTGCCTCTCCCTCTGACCCTCTCCCATCTCATGCTCTCTATCTCATTCTCTCTCTCAAATAAATAAATAAAAACTTAAAAAAAAATTAAAAAAAACTTATATGGAAATACAAATGATCTAAACGACTGTGGAAAAAAACCAACATTGGAGGATTCATACTATCTGATTTTAAGACTTACTATTCAGCTACAGTAACCAAGACAGTAGATATTTTATAAAAGTAGACATATAGAATAGGAAGTCCAGAAGTAGACCCACACCATATATGGACAGTTAATTTTCAACAAAGGTGATAAGACAATTCAGTAGGGAAGGATTTTCTTTTTAATAGTGCTGGAACAACTGGATATCTATATGCCAAAAAAGAAAAACCAAAACAAAACCTTGACTCTTTCCACAAGGCGTATACAAAAATTAACTCAAAATGAATCATATGTTAAGACCTAAAAAAAAAAACTTCGAGAAGAAAACGTAGAAGATCTTACTGACTTTGGCTTAGGCAGCGATTTCTTAAATAGGACACAATACCCATGAACTGTAAAAGAAAAATTTGTTAGGGTGCCTGGGTGGCTAAGTCAGTTAAGGGTCCTGGGATCGAGCCCTGTGTCAGGCTCCCTCCTCATGGTCATGCACTTGCTCTCTCTCTCTGTCTCTCTCTCTTGCAAAAATAAAATCTTAAAAAAAAAGATTTGTTAGAGATTACATTTTATCAGCGTGCTAAAACATGTTCTTCAAAAGACACTGTTAAGAAAATGAATATACAAATCAGAGGCTGTGACAAGATATTTTGCAGAACACATACCTCATAAAGGACTCGAATATTTAAAAAACTTATAACTTAAGAAGACAATTCAAGGTTTTTTTTTTTTTTAGACTTCATTTTTTTTGAAGCAGATTTAGGTTCATGGCAAAATTGAGAGGAAGGTACATATATATATATTCTACTCTCCCACCAGAGTATGGTACATTTGTTACAATAATAATTCAGTTTTAAAAAGGTAAAAAAGTTGAACAGGCACTTTACCAAAATCATGTACAGAAGGCAAATAAGCACATGTAAAGATGCTCAACATCATTAGTCATTAAAAAGATACAAATTGAAATCACAATGAGATACCACTACACACCACCGAGAATGACTAAAATTAAAAATACCAGGTGTTGGGGCACATGGGCGGCTCCATCAGTTAAGCATCTGACTCTTGATTTTGGCTCAGGTCATGATCTTGGGGTCATGAGATAGAGCCCCGTATCGGGCTCCGTGCTGGGTGTCTAGCCTGCTTGGAATCCTCTCTCACTCCCTCTGCCCCTCTCCCTGCTCTCTCTCTCTCTCTCCCTGTCTAAAAAAAGTAAATAAAAATAAAAATCCCAGGTGTTGACAAGAACATGGGGCAACTGGAACTCTCATTGTTGCTCTTGGTAATGCAAAATGGTATAGTAATTTTGGAAAACAGTTTGGCAGTTTCTTATAAAGTTAAACATACGGTTACCATATGACCAAGCAATCCCACTTTTAGGTATTTAAAAGAAGAAAGCACATACCCACACAAAACATATCCGTGTGAAATGTTCATAACAGTTCTAGTTATAATAGCTCAAAATTAGGAAGGACCCAAATGTCCATCAGCTGGTGAATGGATAAACAAATTGGTGTATCATGGCACATTACTCAGCAAACTACTAATACAGACAACAAAATAGATGAATAGTAAAAGCATTATGTTCTGTGAAAGAAGCCACATAAAAAAGATTTCTTATGGATTGATTCAATTTATGTGAATCTCAAGGAAAGGCAAAACTATAGCAGTGGAAAATAGGTCACTGGTTGCCAGGTGCCAGCAGATGGTGAGAGGCACTTTGTGTGGTGATGGAAGTGTTTATATCATGATTGTGGTGGTGGTTACTTGACTGTATTCATTTATCAAAATTAATCGTATACTTAAAACTGACACCCTCCAAAAAAAAAAAAAGTGTCACAGAAAGTAATTTTATATGGATGGGTTCCAGAAATCGTGAGCCACATTAACCAGAATTGCACATTTTTCGTGGTGCAGCCACAAACTAAGATCCACATGTTATTTTCCAAGCCCAGTTAACAAATTCTCCTCTATCCAGATAGTTCATCTGGCTGTTACTGTTACCTTTTCAACTCTAGGAAATGAGAAGGAAACTTCTACATGGTGATGGTGTGAAATTGTTGGATATGTGTTACATTTGGGCTGACCAGTTTTTCATTTGTCTTACTTGACAGGAGTGCGAAACCAAGATTGCACAAGAGATTGCCAGTCTTTCAAAAGAGGATGTTTCCAAAGAAGAAATGAATGAAAATGAAGAAGTTATAAATATTCTCCTTGCTCAGGTAAGCTTAACTTTTTTTCTCTATTTTGCAAGATCCTTTTTAAAAAATAAAAATTGTACATATTTGAAGTATGCAGCATGATTTGATAGACCTATATATACATAGTGAAGTGATTACTACAGTGAAGCTAATTAACATTGTCTTCTCATATAGTTACCTTTTTCTTCTGTGATGGGAGCACCTGAAATCCATTCCTTTAGTGTATTTCCAGTATTCAATACAGTATTATTAACTATAGTCATAGATAGTCTAGATCTCTGGACTTACTCATCCTTTGTAATTGCAACTTTGTACCTTTTGACCAACATCTCCCCATTTTCCCCATCCCCCAGCCTCTGGTAACCACTGTTCTGCTCTCTACTTCCATGAGTTCTACTTTTTTTTTCAAAGATTCCACCTAGAAGTGAGATCATACAATGTCTGTCTTCCTCTGGCTTATTTCACTTAGCACAGTGTCCTCCAGGTTTATCCATGTTAATCAGAAATGGCAGGATTTCCTTCTTTCTCATGGCTGAATAATACTCCTGTGTATATGTCTATACACACCCCACATCTTCTTTATCAACTTGTGCATTGACCATTGGGTTGTTTTCATATTTTGACTATTGTAAATAATGCTGCAGTGAACATGGCAGTGCAGGTTATCTCTTCAGTATCCTTTCCATTTCCTTTGGGTATAAACCCAGAGGTGGAATTGATGGATCATATGGTAGTTCTGTTTTTTGAGGAACCTCCATTCTGTTTTCCATAATGGCTGCATTCAGTTTACATTCCCACCAACTGTGTATAAGAGTTCCATTTTCTCTGCATCCTTGCCAACAGTTGTTACCTTTTTTTTTAATAATAGCCATCCTAATAGTTGTGAGGTAATATCTCATTATGGTTTTGATTTGCATTTTCCTGATAATAAGTGATGTTGAGCATCATTTGAGATATCTACTGGTCATTTGTAGGTCTTCTGTTTAGAAATGCCTCTTCAGGTCCTTTGCCCATTTTTGAATTGGGTTGGTTGTGTTCTACCTGTTGAATTGGTTGCATTATTTATAAATTTTGGATATTCACCCCTTATCTCACACATGGTTTGCAGATATTTTCTTCCATTCCATAGGGTGTCTCTGCACTCTGTTGATGTTTTCCTTTGCTCTGCAGAAGCTTTTTAGTTTTATGCCATCCCATTTGTCTATTTTTTGCTTTAGTTGCCTGCTTTCTGGGTCATATCTAAAAATTCATTGTCTAGACCAGTGTCAATGGACCTTTTCCTTATGTTTTTTTCTAATAGTTACATGGTTTAGGTTTTATATTTAAATCTTTTTTAATTATGTTAATCACCATACATTACATCATTAGTTTTTGATGTAGTGTTCCATGATTCATTATTTGCGTATAACACCCAGTGCTCCATGCAGAACGTGCCCTCTTTAATACCCATCACCAGGCTAACCCATCCCCCCACCCCCGTCCCCTCTAGAACCCTCAGTTTGTTTTTCAGAGTCCATTGTCTCTCATGGTTCGTCTCCCCCTCCGATTTCCCCCCCTTCATTCCTCCCCTCCTGCTATCTTTTTTTTTTTTTTAACATATAATGTATTATTTGTTTCAGAGGTACAGATCTGTGATTCAACAGTCTTGCACAATTCACAGTGCTCACCATAGCACATACCTTCCCCAATGTGTCACCCAGCCACCCCATCTCTCCCACCCCCCACCACTCCAGCAACCCTCACTTTGTTTCCGGAGATTAAGAACTCATATCAGTGAGGTCATATGATACATGTCTTTCTCTGATTGACTTATTTCAAAAGCTCAGCATACCACTCTCCAGTTTTATCCACGTCATTGCAAATGGCAAGATTTTATTCCTTTTGATGGCTGCATAATATTCCATCGTATATACACACCACATCTACTTTATCCATTCATTGGGTTGATGGACATCTTGGCTCTTTCCACAGTTTGGCTATTGTGGACATTGCTGCTATAAACATTGGGGTGCACGTACCCCTTCGGATCCCTATATTTGTATCTTTGGGGTAAATACCCAGTAGTGCAATTGTTGGGTCGTAGGGTAGCTCTATTTTCAACTTTTTGAGGAACCTCCATACTGTTTTCCAGAGTGGCTGCACGAGCTTGCATTCCCACCAACAGTGTAGGAGGGTTCCCCTTTCTCTGCATGCCTGCCAACATCTCTTGTTTCCTGACTTGTTAATTTTAGCCATTCTGACTGGTGTGAGGTGGTATCTCCTGGAGGTTTTGATTTGGATTTCCCTGATGCCAAGCAATGTTGAGCACTTTGTCGTGTGTCTGTTGGCCATTTGGATGTCTTCTTTGGAAAAATGTCTGTTCATGTCTTCTGCCCATTTCTTGATTGGATCATTTGTTCTTTGGGTGTTGAGTTTAACAAGTTCTTTATAGATTTTGGATACTAACCCTTTATCTGATATGTCATTTGCAAATATTTTCTCCCATTCTGTCAGTTGTCTTTTGGTTTTGTTGACTGTTTCTTTTGCTGTGCAAAAGCTTTTTATCTTGATGAGGTCCCAGTAGTTCATTTTTGCCCTTGCTTCCCTTGCCTTTGGCGATGTTTCTAGGAAGAAGCTGCTGCGGGTGGGCGCCTGGGTGGCTCAGTTGGTTAAGCGACTGCCTTCGGCTCAGGTCGTGATCCTGGAGTCCCGGGATCGAGTCCCACATCGGGCTCCCTGCTCAGCGGGGAGTCTGCTTCTCTCTCTGACCCTCTTCCCTCTGGTGCGCTCTCTCTCTCAAAAAAAAAAAAAAATCTTAAAAAAGAAAAGTTGCTGCGGGTGAGGTCAAAGAGGTTGCTGCCTGTGTTCTCCTTTAGGATTTTGATGGACTCCTGTCTCACATTTAGGTCTTTCAACCATTTGGAGTCTATTTTTGTGTGTGGTGTAAGGAAATGGTCCAGTTTCATTCTTCTGCATGTGGCTATCCAATTTTCCCAACACCATTTGTTGAAGAGACTGTCTTTTTTCCACTGGACATTCTTTCCTGCTTTGTCGAAGATGAGTTGACTATAGAGTTGAGCCCATTTCTGGGCTCTCTATTCTGTTCCATTGATCTATGTGTTTTTGTGCCAGTACCAAACTGTCTTGATGATTACAGCTTTGTAATAGACCTTGAAGTCTGGAATTGTGATGCCGCCAGCTTTGCTTTTCTTTTTCAACATTCCTCTGGCTATTCGGGGTCTTTTCTGGTTCCATACAAATTTTAGGATTACTTCCATTTCTTTGAAAAAAGTGGATGGTATTTTGATGGGGATCGCATTGAATGTGTAGATTCCTCTAGGTAGTACTGACATCATCACAATATTTGTTCTTCCAGTCGATGAGCATGGAACGTTTTTCCATTCCTGTGTGTCTCCTCAATTTCTTTCATGAGTATTTTATAGTTTTCTGAGTAAGATTCTTTCCATCTTTGGTTAGATTTATTTCTAGGTATCTTATGGTTTTGGGTGCAATTGTAAATGGGATCGACTCCTTAATTTCTCTTTCTTCTGTCTCGTTGGTGTATAGAGATGCAACTGATTTCTCTGTATGAATTTTATATCCTGCCACGTTACTGAATTCCTGTATGAGGTCTAGCAGTTTTGGGGTGGAGTTGTTTGGGTCTTCCACATAAAGTATCATATCATCTGCAAAGAGTGAGAGTTTGATTTCTTCTTTGCCGATTTGGATGCCTTTTATTTCCTTTTGTTGTCTGATTGCTGTGGCTAGGACTTCTAATACTATGTTGAATAGCAGTGGTGATAGTGGACATCCCTCCCGTGTTCCTGACCTTAGGGGGAAAGCTCTCAGTTTTTGCCCAGTGAGAATGATATTCGCTGTAGGTTTTTCATAGATGGCCTTTATGATATTGAGGTATGTACCCTCTATCCCTATACTCTAAAGAGTTTTGATCAAGAAAGGATGCTGTACTTTGTCAGATGCTTTTTCTGCATCTATTGAGAGGATCATATGGTTCTTGTTCTTTCTTTTATTAACATAGTGTATCACGTTGATTGTTTTGCGGATGTTGAACCAACCTTGCTGCCCAGGAATAAATCCCACTTGGTCGTGGTGAATAATCCTTTTAATGTACTCTTCGACCCTATTGGCTAGGATTTTGGTGAGAATTTTTGATGAACACCCGTGTTCATCAAGGATATTGGTCTGTAATTCTCCTTTTTGATGGGGTCTTTGTCTGGTTTGAGGATCAAGGTAATGGTGGCCTCATAAAACGAGTTTGGAAGTTTTCCTTCCATTTCTATTTTTGGAACAGTTTCAGAAGGATAGGTATTGGGTGCCTGGGTGGCTCAGTCGTTAAGCGTCTGCCTTCGGCTCAGGTCATGATCCCAGTGTCCTGGGATCGAGTCCCACATTGGGCTCCCTGCTAGGTGGGAGGCCTGGTTCTCCCTCTCCCACTCCTGCTGCTTGTGTTCCTCCTCTCGCTGTCTCTGTCTCTGTCAAATAAATAAATAAAATCTTAAAAAAAAAAAAGGATAGATATTAATTCTTCTTTAAATGTTTGGTAGAATTCCCCTGGGAAACCATCTGGCCCTGGGCTTTTGTTTGTTGGGAGATTTTTGGTGACTGCTTCAAATTCCTTAGTGGTTATAGGTCTGTTCAAGTTTTCTGTTTCTTCCTGGTTAAGTTTTGGTAGTTGATACATCTCTAGGAATGCATCCATTTCTTCCAGATTATCTAATCTGCTGGCATATAGTTGTTCTTATAATTGTTTGTATTTCTTTGGTGTTGGTTGTGATCTCTCCTCTTTCATTCATGATTTTGTTGATTTGCGTCCTTTTTCTTTTCTTTTTGATAAGTCTGGCCAGGGGTTTATCAATCTTGTTAATTCTTTCAAAGAACCAGCTCCTAGTCTCATTGATCTGTTCTGTTCTTTTGGTTTCTGTTTCATTGATTTCTGCTCTGATCTTTATTATTTCTCTTCTCCTGTTGGATTTAGGCTTTATTTGCTATTCTTTCTCCAGCTCCTTTAGGTGTAGGTTTAG